GGACTTGGCTGGGTCCGAAGGACGTCGTTCGACAACAGGGTTTGCTNTCCTGCTTGGTGGTGGAGCCATCTCCTGGTCTTCAAAGATCCAACCCACCATTGCCACATCAACCGCGGAGGCCGAGTACATGGCGGCGGCTTCTACAATTAAAGAGGCACTTTGGTTACGACATCTTCTTCTTGATCTCGGTGTACCAATTGGTGCTTTGCCCATCAAGTGTGACAGCAGCGCGTGCATCGCGATGCTTGAAAGTCCTATTTCGTCTGCGCGTACGAAGCACATTGACGTGTGTCATCATTTTGCACGTGAGCGGGTAGAGCGTGGTGAGGTCAGGATGGTTAAGTGCTGCACGAAGGAGCAGCTGGCCGACGTTTTTACCAAAGCGTTGCCAAGGGAAAAGTTTAAGTTCTGTGTGGACGGGTTAGGTCTGGAGTAGTTTATTACTCTGGTCCTACAGGGTTTATTTTTTCACTTCAGTCATCACCGCTGTGCCTTATGAAATAGCTGAGTAGTTATTCGTTGTACGGAAGTCTGTCCGCGGGGGAGTGTTGTAATTCCGGTCAGACTTCTTAGGCTTTTTATAGCTTGTTGTCGCGATAAGCGTTGTACTTCGATTGGTGTGATTCCTAGTTGGGTCTTATCGTACGGACTTGATCTATTGGTACTATTTGTACCCTGAGGCAAGTCTTCTCTATCAAGCTGATTGTAACAACTATTGCTCATTGGGACTTTGGAGTGTCCTTCGAGATAGGGCATAGTGTCAGCTCGCTTATCCAGCTTGTGCTTAACTGGATCGTGTCTCAGCTATTTCTGGCTATTTACGAATAGTTCACAACAGGCACGTCCCTATGCACAGCAAATAGCTATTCCAAGCCAACAGCGGTGTCCTTGTCACCGACAAGGCTCTAAACGTCTTATCTGTTCTTATGTTTAATTAAGTTTATGTATGTTATACTCTGCGCAACTTTGTAATTTGACTTTACTCTGAACAAGGTGCTGCATACAACTGCCTCTTCGCCAGCGCTTCATCTTCCGCGGCAGTTTCGCGAGCCCAGTGTTGCAAGCTACGACGTAGGCTTTCGGTGCTTTCAGATACTGCAAAGCAGCCACGCAATAGTCCAGCCTGCATGCCGGGTGCGACTATGGCCAACAAGACCACCTGCGCAATGCGCTGGCACACCTCCAAGAAATTTATATACACTTGTACAGGCGCATTTTGCGAATCCCACGCGCGCATCCGCGCGGTGAATTTCGCTCCTGGCTTTTTTGGACGATGTACGAACGGTTTATTCGCGAAGTACGACCGGACACATTTGTGCGAGAGGCTGCTTAAAAAAAGGAAAGGTTTACGCAAGAAGAAAACGGGTGTTTATGAGAAAGAACAGCGTCAATTTGACTCTGAAACACAATTGCCTATTACCGCCGAGAAAGTTAGGTAGTTAGGTGCTCATGCCGGGAGCGAAACATCTCAAAAATAGCCTTTGCAAGACCACGCTGATCATCCACTTGCATGATATCACGGATGTTCGCATTGACGGGCACACCGAGGTCCCAGATCTTCTGACGCGCAGACATAATCGCCGGACATTCTACCAAGAAGTGTTTCTCATCCTCAATAGCACCATTACTACGACACACAGCGCACACGCGGTGCTCCCTAGCCCTGTTGCTCTCACTGTTAACCGCCAGGTCAGAGACACACAAACGAAAGCGAATTAGGGCACGATGATGCGCCGGGGGGATATAACCCGCGTACGGCTTCGGTGGCCCCATCCAGTGCTTATGGCGGCCCATCTTCACCCCGGGCTTCCTACCGTCCGTAACGAAAACTCTAGGGTCCACAGCTAGCCTATCATTCGCCCAGTCGTCGTTGACACGTGTCCTAAGGGTATCCATCAGCGCTTCGACATCAAGCTTGCAAGCCGAGTAACGTCTAACCCTCATATCAATGCCTCCCCCGACTGCCTCCTCACCCCAGTCATGCTCTAAGTGGTTAAGGATACGAATGACTTTGGATCCCCAACCATCAAACTGTAAATCCGTTACTAACGCCAAACGAATTTCCTGACGAAAGGCGCTGTGGTATACGCTACTAGTGTCCTCCACCAAACTATTCCAG